TTTAATTCAAAATAAATACTTCGTGATCAGCTCATAACTATGCAAAATATCATCATATATTATCTTTGGATATAATGCAACCAGTAACTATCTTCATTTATTAAATCTGAGACAAAAAATATTTACGTACCATTATTGGAAAGGTAAATGTACTTCACCACCGCTGATGTGGTGGCGCGATCAGAATATACAATAGAGACTGATTTGCAGGTGGTTTATGTGCTGCTGTGATGCAATACTCTTTTATCTACATCGTCACACCCGATTATTTGTACTCCACGCCATGTGCGTGGATTTCACAGAAACAAATTTCATGAAACCTCACCTACATAAAGTGGGTGTCCGCTCACAAACAAAGTGAGAACAATGCAAAGAGTGAAGCAACAACACTGTTGCATGTCGTGTCATCAGCGGATTCTGCAACATCGGCCGTAATCGAAGTACGCTTGATGGACTTAGACGTTCTGAAACGAGTGGATGAATTGAATCCATTTCACAGAGTCTAGCCGTTTGCCTTAACAGTCACAAGTTTTCATCGTTGTATGTTTCAGTTTGGCGCAATGTACGTTTTAATGTCCTTTTCGGAAATGATATATTTCATTACGTCGACTGACTGCCGTTGTTTTAATGTTTTCGCCACAATGTGACGCGATAGATCTATCCTATTCTATCAGTCCTGTTTCCTACAAAGAGACGGCTCTGCGGCGCCCAAGTGACTTTCGGGACATGCACTGGATGGCATAGATGCAAGAGAGTGGATGGAGCGGTTGGAGTTCGTGATGGAACGGATAGGCGGAGCCGCTCACGCAAAGGAGTGAATTTCCATAGCTGCAGTAGGATTGTATTATAATAGGGTGATGTTCCATAAATTTATTCAATAGGTTTGCCGTTATTATTCGTGCATCAGCCATGATTACATATATTGCGGTCGTTGTTTGTTTAGTTTATAGAATTATTAAATGGCAGATAGCTTGAAATAATTTCATGCCATTAGAAAAGATCTATTTATATAAGGATTCTCCGCCTAGAGTTTGAAACAAAACACCGTACGAAAACTGCCGAAGCAATGCTCATGGCACACATTGAACCTTCTGATCAGCTTGCTGTATGCTACAGTCGCACCTTACCTTGTAGCAAAGCTTCTATTTTCATTTTCACCGATTCACGCATATTCAAACGTTGATAGCAACGTCAAACAGTAAGACTGATTGCTAACCATAGTCAATAGTTATCATATGGCAGCGGAGTCGCTTCCCTGCGGGCAATGGATTGTCACCTGTCATTAACCGTTCAAGCAGTTCTCTTGTTTCTTCAAAAACGGATTCACTCTGAATTAGTGAAGATTTCTTTTTGATATAAAGCAGTTCTTTTGTTCACTTTATTGCTGATCAGATTTTTTTACAAAGCTTAACTCGAGCTAAGCTAAAGATAAGCCTACGTTGTTCCCAATGATTATTTCAGTATCTAACATGCAGTAGTAATATCTAATAAACCTGATGATGAAGATCACCGTTTCCAACGCTGTTAATTTAAACTTTTAGGACATGCAGTTGACACCTTGTTTCAAATTTTAGTCAGCGGATCAGATGAACCAAAGCGAAATGCAGCACTGGGCGAACGCATCAGGCTCTGGCCTGACCTTATCAAATGACCTTGTTGTTCGCAACTGACCCATATGATGATTCACTTTCCGGTGCGATTATCAATACACAGCGTATAAACCCAAAATTTGCAAGCCAAGAAGTTGTTTCGTCATATTGTGTAATTGTGAAAATTGTTTTTCCTGCCGCTCCTATTTTCATTCGCATATTGATGCCCGAGTGACACTTTGTGCAGATTTTGTCAGCTGCCATGGCGAGTAGTAGCCGTAAAGTGTAGGCATCAACCATAACTACCGCTGTTGTGTTTTTGCCATCCTCATCTGAACCTATCCATCTGAACTTATTCAGCTAAGTAACCTGAATTCATCATATCTGAACGTTAGAAACAGCACTTCGGGGGCAGCATCGCAATGACTCATCGAAGAACTGTTCTGCCATATCTTGTGAGATTACTGACGCGGTATCCGTTTCTCAGCTGGTCACGCGTCGATGCACCGTGGAATGAATGCCTTGCTCAATGGAAGCATAACTGAATAAAGAGGTATGACGCGTATGGAGCACTTATGGCAAATGAAAATTGTTGCTAGCCGTGAAACTGTTCCTGTCCTTCAATCGAAAGGTTTTCGATCAGTGTGTGCTCCAAGTGCTGATTTATGGATGCGAACCGTCGACCTTAAGTCAGAGAATTCACAAACTGTGGATTACGCAATGCAGCATGGTAAGGTGCATTTTGGGAAGGCGAATAAATGGTAAGATCAGAAATAGTGGTCTATAGCATGGTTGCCTGTATGAAGATGACGCGGAAACCGACAGGTCACGTTGCAAAAGGAACCGGAGGTGGCTGAATCAAAGAGATATTAGATTAGATTTCAAGAGAAAGCAAATTGCCCATAGGAAAAATTCAAATTCAATGAGGTAAAGAAATTTTTTAACCAACATGAATAAAAATAGCAAAGGACAAAAGTTTTACGCAGTCTGGGAGAAGCCTTCATTCAGCAGCTGATTGAAAACAACTAATGATGCTGAAAGAAATTCATTCTCGCGATGGATTACAACTCTGCACCCTAAACTGCAATGCTATGCTGCAGTGTGCTGCTTCCCTTCCTAATTCCTTAACTGTGTAACTAATTGATATCATAAATCGATTACATATATTATTGCGATATATTCACAAGTGGCGTTACAGTGTTTCGACGCTCGTTGTTCTGTCGACAATTTCTCTCTTGTTCACATGATCAATAATCATTACTATTGACTATTCGACTTTGTAAAATGAAACATCTTGTTTATCTAAAGAAACATATCACCATGGAATACGTAGCTGCTTGAGTGATATGTAGTGGTGATAAAACTGACAAATAATACAGCAAACTTATGCGGCATAAATAAATAAATCCTTGGTTTTAGTTTTTGTGAGTTCCAGCCGTTTCGAAGCTTCTCATCGTTGGCCTTCCCAACGTTGCAGTAAGTTAGCAAAAGCTATGAATATTTCTGCCAAAAACGCATTTATCTCTAAAATGGCTCCAGCCTAACTGAGTTTTACGTTTTGTTTTGCATTAATGATTTATTTTTTAGTTATGGCCCACGTGTCCGAAAAAACTAAGGCCTACACTAATTGCTAAACTTAAACTTTTAGCCTATATTGTCTTCAAAATCTTGCCTTTCGAAGGGGCATGTTGTTGTAGCGAAATATGTAAAGAATTCACACTTGTTCAAGGATATGTGCGCAGAATGACCTAAATTTAGAAAGAACATTATTTCTTTGATAGCACGAGATCTCAGTGCAGGCGAGTTGTTTTTCTTTTGGCCTCTCTTCATTTGTTTAGCTATATGTTGAGCACCTTATATCACAGCAAATTTCTAGAACCATGCGCGAGGTTACATAGAGTACAGAAGTATTCAACTTTAGAAATATTTAGTCAGGTGTTTTGAAAGAAAGAACAGTAGTACAACTCCTCGAGTAATCGAATTGTAAATAACATTCAGAAAATTGTGTTAACATAACATAACATTAAAAAATGTTCTCTTTACAATTACAATGGCCTTCTATCTACCACGATTGGTATCAGTGGTAAACACTTCTTCGTGAGTCTTCGAACGGCCAATGGTCGATCAGTTTCTACCTCGCCGAGAAAGGCAGAGATTCTCCAACCAACTAGCAGAGTGGACTCCAAAATATGCAACATGTCACTGTGCGTCATACTGCGATCATATCTGCCGAAGCGCTACACCACAGGTCAGCTGAGTGCCTATCGTTACAGCCGCTGGAGAGTACAAAATCTGTTCATACGATGAAAAAAGGAGTTCGATTAAAGCAGCATTACTGCTTTTAGAACATTTTACGGATATGTGATTTGAAATGTAGAGAGATACCATCCGTTCAATGATTCTCTTCAGGCCCGTTTTCACATCCTCAGGCGGTGGCTCGGGATTAAGCAGTTAATCAAAGTATCCTCTCCATTTAGAAAGCACTCCTCATTCTCTGTAAAAGGGCACTCAAACTTATTCTTAAGGATTGTTAGACTGCCCTTCTCTGTATCGCGTAATAGGCGTTATGGTCTGCCAGAACACCTTGTTTTCCGTCCAAAAGTTTCACTGCAACATCTCATTGAATTTCTTCTAGGAGCCAGCTTTACTCTT